TTCAAGCAAAATTGTTGCTACTCGTGCCCAAAGGTAACTGCACCAGCACTCTCCTGAACAATCCTTGTGGCAGAGGAACACCAGATTATGTTTCTACAGCAGTAAGACCTCCGCCTCTTGTCATCCGAAACACAGCGGCAATAGCTTAAAACAAAGGGGAACTCTTTAAATTAGACACATAAAGCCTTCTTGAGTAATAAAAATCACACTAAAGAAAATGAGATGTTTTCTGGAACTGTGCATTTCAACATCACATGAATGGAAAACTACCTTATCTCTCCAAAATGCAGGAGAAGTATGGCAAGGTAGTAAGTTTTTCCACCTTGTCTTAAACTTTCAGAGACAGAGACTACTAATGAGAAAAGCATGTTTCATCCTCCTATTTCACATTTTGTCCTAATAAGTGGCAGTAAACCTTTACGTATTATGGCTAGGAAAGGTCAAGGGGAGGGACAGGGACCAGAAAGAAGAAATATAAAGAGAAATAAATAAGATTCCCACATTGCAGGGGGGGTCTCCTCAGACTGAAACAGTATTTTTGAAAGAAAAAGTATTATATATATGTCCACATAGAAAAAGTATTTTATATATGTGCACATAGTTTCTATGTCAAACTGCCCTGATTTCATTGAGACATCTGTTTTTATTTCTAAATTTCCAGTTTAAAATCAGTTTGTGTAAACAGGAACAAAACTGAGTATTTTCCCTGGTAAGGATTTTATGTGCTTTGTCACAATGTAGTCTACCTGCAACCCCAACCTGTAACTGATTTATTTAAGATCAGCCAATACATTGCTGACATTTTCAGTGGGAAATCTATCCCATACTATTCATACAGACATTACTCAATCAAGCGTGCTCTCGTATTCAGCCAATTTCTTTCTGGGCCTCTGCTCCAGAGACTGACTGAGAAATTAGTCTCAGCAAATGAAATCATTATTACTCACTGTACCTGCACCCATCTAGGAACATCTGAGATGAGACAGACTGTTCAAATCCCTCTTCCTCAACAGTTAATTCCTAAAAATAATTGAATGTTGAATGTTCTACTGCAGTACAGAAAAGCATTCTATACTCTCCCTGCCATTTAAGACTAAGCCTAAGATTTCTTTCATCAGAAAAATGAATTATTTTACATTTTGCCAAAAGTGAAAAAGGTAATACTGTACATTTAAAAAAAAGGGGAAAAAAAAGGCAAGCTATGCATGGTGCATAAGTGATCAGTGACTTTGCTACTGTCAAGTCACTTCCACCTCATACACTCTGAGTTTTGCAAGAAAGTGTAGAAAAGCTACCGTGTTAATCATCATGACCACTTAACTACTGCACTTCCTCACCTGGAGAATTTTGGCTTTTGAAGACTGATTTGGTAACTTGGTTGAATATGTAAATATTCACCTGAATATGATCTCAAATCCTTTAAGAACACATTTTATTTCCATCTGAAGTATTATTTTATTCTCCACTTGAATCCAAGTTTCTTTTCCTTTTTTTTTTACTGCTATGATCACTACCTCATATAATCAAGCCTCAATCCATTAAAGATCAAAATAAACAATTTGCTTGAGGATATTAATAGAGACATTCCTAAGGTATTGTACAAGAAAATTTGATGTATTTATTTGTAGCTCACATCATATGGAAAAAAGCTATTTGTTTCCATTGTTAGTATAGCCAACTGTCAGTCCAATCCTGCAGGTCTCTAACTTCAAGCAAACCTTACAGTGGCATCAGCATTTATAGGAGGTTAACAGATCAAAACACTAAAGCAAGAACACAACTAATGGAACAGTAATAAGGCTTTTGCCCTCTCTCATGGTTTAATAGCTGTCTAAAATCCAAGTCCTATATGGTGTATATCTGACATGACTTTCATGGTTATCCTCAAAACCTGTGTATGGAAAATTTTCCTTTCTTGGACCTCCACGCTCCTATCTCAAAGGACAAAGTAGGCATGCTTTAATAACATTATCTCAATCCACTTGAAAAGCCTTCTTAATTCTTACTGAAACAATCTAATCTGTTTGAGGCAAGATTTTGGTTTTATTTAGAATAGTAAATCTTATCTAATTAACTGTAACATTAGGATGTTAACTAACATATACAAGCCGACTTGTAAGAGTCCACTGTACACAGAGACTAATTCATATCAGCTGAAGCCTAGACCCCAGCACAGTAGTTAGCCCCATAGGCAGTGCCCGATGCCATCCTCCCACATGTCCTCGCTCCCAGGTGTCATACATGCAACCCAATGCACTGGTAGTGGGCTTACCTGGGGTGGCGGGGGATCCACTATTTATCCTCATTAAGAACCAAGTGGAAGGTGACAACCAGTGTTTAATGTTAAGACCAGCTTCAAATTTCACTGCCAACAAGAAGGTGGTTTTCCTTTTCCCTTAGAACCTATCTAGGTAGTCAAGGCATTTGCTATAGCGCAAAACAAACTAAACCCACATTTTTAGTATTGCACTTTAGCTAGCAGGACTTAAGAGCTGTACCCTCCTTGACTGCTACACTGCTCAGCCATACTGCAGTTTTCCAGTTTCACCTTCAGCTTTCCTTAGAGATACCTTCCCTCGCTGAAACATAAATCACTGAAAAGACAGGGCTCACCTTCAGTATTGTCAAGTTCATCAACACAGTGAAAAGACTGGATTTACTGTCTACTGAAATTAGTGGGGTTTTCGGTTTCCAAAATATAGCCTAAAGGTCAAAGATTCCCCCATTAAGTGGACTATTTCATTATTCCCATGTTTGTTTTCAATCAGCAAGACTAACCCAGGACAGTTTAGGCATAAGCGCCTGATCCAATTCAAGAATCATATTCAGTGAATGGAAACACATGATGGTTACCAATGCCTTCAAGAACAAAATTCCTAAAAAAAAAATAAAAATTAAAAAATCTCTATCAGCAGCCAAGTACAACCTCACATATCGGTCACAATATACCGATGCGCTTTAAATACGGACAAATTACTCATGTAACATAAGCCACCTTCTTCCTGGCAAATTCCACTCAGAAGGCTAAATATATACTGCTTGTCTTTGTATACCAAAGTATCCCACCAGCTGGTGCAGAGAGGAAAGAAAAACAGCTTACATTTTTCATCAGAGAGGTACGGGTGGGGCGGGGAGGGGGAAGAAAGAGAACAAGGCCCATGTATCACCTATTTTTGTTTTGCAAACTAGTCAGGACCTGCGCTTTTTAATTTCACTTGACGGTTGATAACCAATACACACAAACACACAGTGCAAGATCTTTGAGTGCCACAGACCTATGTAAAATAGCCTAAACACCAGATCACAGATGAAAATTATGGGGCAAAAAGATGTAACGTTTACTCAAAGCTCTGGTTTTCAACTTTTAGTGAGTTCTTAATTTATTAGTTATAACTTGTTTTTGTTGGAGAGGGTTCAGAAAAGGCTGTGAGATTTTTCTAAGCGTCAGCTTAAAAATACTTACAACTATTTCTTAAATGCCAGCTTAAGAAATGTATAAATAAAATTCAGCATTAAGACCTCTAAACTTGGAGAGACATGCTCAGAACAGGAAATGATAGTTTGTTAATAAAGAAAAGGTAAATCATTCTCTAGGCTTCCGGTGGGAAACTTGGCAGTGAAAGGATTTTGACCTCAGTGGAAGGTAACTGCCACAAATGACAAATCAAGCAACTTTCTTCTTACAAGTGAGGCAAATGTTTGACATAAGGCTGGACTGCATTCAGATCTATCATTCCCTGTGGCATATTCTTCTACTTTTAACAAATAATGCTGCATGCTTTTTGCACGGACTGTATTAATTTTCCTTTTTTCCCCCCTCTCTCTCTCTGAGTAAAGCCGTGCAAGCCTAACATTTTTTGTAAATGATTACTTATTTCCTATTTGAAGCACAAAAGCTCATCACTTATAGAATAGGTCAAGCTTTCAGTGCCTATTAGTCCTAGTCTGGAATGAATTAATGCATTTTCCTATGTTCATCTTCCTTTTCCGTTGTAGGAACAGTATATGGGACATTTGTGCAAAGGAAGGAAGCAAAAATCCTGCATTATTTTCAGGCGAAGTAGTAAACAACAACAACAAAAATACACTTAAGAGCTCTATTTTCGTTTTCATATTAGACTCACTGTGACTATATCACTGTGAAGTTTGCAATTATGAGTACCAGTTTTCCCAACTCAGAACAATAAGTGGCGGGAAAAAATGACAAGTAGCCCAGTTTAATTTCAAACGTTAATATATTTTCTATTTTATAGTGAACATATGCATCGTTCACCCCTTATTTGCAGCAACTATGACGTCCTCATAAAAAGGGGTGACATTTGTAAGATGCCTCTTAAAATAAATATTTCTTTTTATAAAATAATAAAACTTCAAATAAATATTCTTTACACTAAACAATATGTTGAAAAAATTAGAAAATAAAGGCTGAATTTTACTGTAACTGTACAATATACATGAAGTCCAAAGGGAAATCAGAGTCTTGCAATAGGTTTCCGTAAGACAAAATACAATCTAAAAACATACTGATTGATTCACATTCTTCCGAATGTACAACATATTAGTATAATATTTTGTGACTGTGCCATGTCTTATGACACCACTTATTTTTCACAGTTGAAAATATTATTGTATATACAAAAATATAGCACATTATCTCTGGCAGAAAACAATGAAAAAAAGGAGTCATTTGCTAATTTACAAATTTTGCAAGTACTATTCACAAACAATAGAGTTGCCTAGGAGTGTCTGTGTTGCTTTAGCTTATGCAATATGTGGGTCACGATGTACTGCATCCCATTTCTTTTTTCCCTGTATCCCACTAGCTGGATTCTAACAAGCGTATCAGTTAAGATGGCACACACAGAGAAAAAGCATTTCACTGCAAACAGCAAAGTGTATCCCCAACCCTTCTACTACAGTGCCAAGACCATAGCTGCTTAGTTGGTTGCATATGCACGTTAAAATAATCCTTGTTACTTTAGTATTTCTGACTAGCGATGCTATGTTGGCTTTTCAAAGTTCCTGGGGGGGACGCTGGGAACTTTGCAGCAAACGGTGTTGGAGTGTTTACAGCGGCAGCCAGGCCGATTTACCCGGTCGTAACAGCCCTGGCACAACTTAAGGCAGCCCTTGGCTGGTAGGTAACACCACAAGCAAGGCAGAAAGAGGGACATCACACCCATGGCGGACCATCTAGTGCAGCAATGCGACTGACTGCAGGAGCAGGGGTTGTCAGCACAGTTGTCCTCGTCATCGTTAGAGCAGTGATAGAAGAGGCCCTTCACGCAGCAAACACAAGTCCCGTAATCGACCACGTTCTGGGCTGAGCAAAGACACTGCTTGTCACAGATCCAACAGGATGGGAGGGTCCTCGGGTAAGTGCACTCCTTACACTTACACTTTCCACAGTCCTCGCACCTGTAGCTGTGCGCTCCCAAGTCTTCTTTGCTCAGCGGCTTCAGCTCACTTGACTTGAGCTCAGACTTGGGCTGCATTCGGACTATCCCGTCGGCAACTGGCCCCGAACACGATCCTAGAAGTCTTTGTTCAGATGAATTACTGCTCGTACTTGTCCTTGTACTGCTCCGCGAACCTGTGCTGACCGTGCTGATGGATCGGGACAGAGGCGCCCGAGGAGAGGCGTGTGTTTGCGTGTGCTGAATCCGGCTAAAATGACGATGGTCGGGCAAGCCATGGGGCCTTTCATTTTTGGGTGGGGTTGCTAGCCGAGAAGCAGACTTGACCCCCGGCCGTGGAGCCACCGTAGGTCCCTCTGTGTACTCATTCGTGTTTCGGATGGCTCTGATCTGGTCCAGAGACAAGACATGAACCTGCTGCGTCAGGACATCCCGCAGGTCGGGCTCCCCGTGCGGCCTCCCCCTGTCACGCCGAGCCTGTAGCAAGGCCTGCGACCCGCTGCCGTGCTGAGCTCTCGTCTCCATCAGTGCCCGGAAGCGTGCTCACCCCGGCAGGCTTAGAACACATCTGAAATCCTGGAGCAACAAAAAGAGGATTCACTATTGCGACACATCTCATGCTCTCTCCAGCAGCCTTTCAAGCCTGCAGGATCCCACAGCACCGCGCACAATCAAGTAATGCATCAGCCATTAAAAAAGGAGTCACCATCTGGGGCGGAGCGCGGGCGCCGTTCAGCTGAATGCACTTCCCTTGGCCTGTCCCGCCTGCTCCTGCGGAGAGCTTAAAGGGATTCTGTTCTAGGTCCACACATCTTAACTGGTGGCTCTAGAAAGCCTAGGTATTGCGCCTGCTAGGCTAAGGCTTCCCAGGCCATCTTCTGGTTAGACCGTGGCCTTTAAAGTGATTGCATTTCAGCCACCTGAAGTGGCTCTTCTTTTCACATCAGGCTACTGAAAAACTTATATTTAAAAAAAAAAAAAAAAAAAAAGCCTGCAAGTATTTAGCAAGTGTAATGTGACCTGCTGATGACAGACATATAATTCTCCAATTTTGTTTAAAACTGGATAATATTTTGGTAGGCTAGTCTCTTTACACATTAAACTTTACATGATGTAAATAGGAAATTTTAGTTTAATACCAATGGTCCCAAGAAAAACACTAAATAGCAATAAAATGTTTGAGGTTAGACATTAAATGAGTTAGTGCTACCAAAAACTTCAACAGCACAAGTAAAAATATCTCTCTCCAGTATTTTAGTGTGTGTCATACTTGTGTACACCGCTGCGATTGTTATTTTAAGGCTCAATACTACAAAGGCAACGCTACCACAGTTTTATTTTTTTAAAACGTGTAAAAAATTCCATAGACTATGTTTCAAATTGTCAATATTACCAAGAGTGGCTTGTGGGACAGAGGCATGCATAATATCCTCAACAATGCCAGCATCCAAGAAGTCTACTTGACTGAGAATATGACTCTAAAGGATCATTAACTACAAAAGCAGAAACACAGACTTCAGAATTTAAATGGAAACCCAGTAAAAGACCCAGAAGATGAGAACTTGTAAATAACTAACTTCCACACTCAGGTATGCAAAAGTTTCAAGTACTGCCTTCTAAATTAGTTAATATTTGTTTTGCCTTTATCATATCTTAAAGTGGCTCCAAAATCCAATTACCTATACAAAAAATCCAGAACAGTATTTTACAATTAAGACCCAAGCAGGAACCAAGCTTCTTACAAGGACCACACAATGTCTTCAATTATACCTAGAAAGAGCACCATAGTGTTACTCTGTACACATCAGTTACCAACTATAATACTATACCACAGTATAATAAAATATAGCCAAACAGTTTAACAATGAATATCTCAAGACGCTGTCTTTATTCTAACAGCAGTGGAAAACGTTTAACCTTTTAACTCCTGGCTCCCTCCCCTCAAGTGCTTTTTCTTAAGAAAAAAAAAAAAAAATAAAAATCTAAGTTTTAAGAGTGACTACCTATTTTAAATACTGCCAAATCCTGGTTTTGGACACAGAGTGTATGTCATGGTGTGTCCGTGTCCCGTCCCGTGTCACCCTCACCCCCCCTCCCCCAAAAAAAATAAAAAAGTCTTGCAAACTTGTCTTGAAGCATTGCTTATGTTTTCTTCAAGTTAAAACCTTTGCCATATAAAAAGTTTCAAGCAACAGCCTAAGCAGACATTTCCTCACCTGAAACTATCTGGAGATAAAAAAGAACAGAAAATAAAAAATACTTTGCCCATCCTTGCGAGGAACTAGCAGACCTGTCTGCCCTCCACGCCCAGGCTTTAGCCAGACCCAGCCAGCCCAGAAGACACGCCGAATCCAACCCTGCCTCTC